TATATATACACTGGAATTGTATCCTTTGAACAAATAAATGAATCAACCATCTTTGACCTCTTAATCACTGCAAACGAATTTGGTCTTGAAGAATTAGTAGTATACGCTCAATCTTATTTAATTGAAAATAACACATCTTGGTTGCAGTCGAATTTTGATAATATTATTCAAATTAGCTTTAAGAGTAGTTTCAAGATATTACAAACATTTTACATTGATTCCGTTTCCAATGATCCAATTATTATATTTGAATCAAAAAGTTTTAAATATCTTCCAGAAAATGCTTTAGTAGCTATTTTAGAACAAGATGATTTACAATTAGAAGAAATTCAAATTTGGGATTTAGTCATTCAATGGGGTATTGCTCAAAACCCTAATTTACCTCAAAATCTTTCTAATTGGTCTAATGAAAATTTTTCAACTCTGAAAACCACTCTTCAAAATTGTCTTCCTTTAATTCGTTATTTTCAAATTCCAGATGAAGATTTCTCTGAAAAAATTTTACCTTACCAACGGATAATTGATCCAATTTTATGGAATGATGTCATTACAAGATTTGAAACTCCAAATGCTTCGATCGTTTCAAATGTTTTACCTCCTCGTCTTCGTAAATTGGCTCCATTTTCAACCTTGATTACCGAAGAACACGCTGCTGAAATTGCTTCAAACATAGATCAATGTCCATTTCCTTATGATGTAAACAAGAATCCATATGAATTTAAATTAATTCTTCGAGGTAGTAAAGATGGTTTTTCTCCAAAAAATTTTTGGGATTTATGTAATAGTGTAGATAACACTGTAGTAGTTTTAAAAGTGAATGGTACAAGCGAAATTCTTGGTGGATATAATTCAAGGTTTTGGTATTTACTTCTTAACATTCCTGGTTATAATGTATCACTCGATAGTTTTATATTCTCTTTAAAGAATGGAAATTTAAAACGTTCAATCTTTAGTCATGTAAATGACTCTCTATATGGAATTTATTGTTCTTATTCTTATGGGCCTTGTTTTGGATCTGAAGATTTGATAATGTTTGGTGATGATTTTAAAAACGAGAAGGGATGTTATTGTAAACCTGTTAATTATAAAACACCCATTAGAAAAATTAGTGATAAATTTTCAATTGACGAATATGAAGTATTTCGAGTGGTTAGAAAGTTTTCAAATACAGATACATCATAATTTATTATATTTTTCAATATTAAAAAAAAAATTTTTTTTTTTAATTAAAAAAAAAAAAAACCGAATAGATAGATTTATATATTAAAAGAATTAATACGGTTTAACCCAATTCACATACAATAAAAATTACAAGCATTCCTATAAATCCAGCTATAGTTGCACTGTTATCTATGGTATTTGCATTATTGCTTTTTACACCATTTCGATCGACTACCTCTGTTGGAGTTGGTTCATGAAGGTTTCCCGTTTCATCAAAATGCGTAGGTCCTCCATCACCAATATTTTCTGTTTCAGTAGGGACGGGTGCGAACAAAGTTTTTGGAAACTTTGCAGCCTCGGGATTAATTCCAAAAGGCCCTACCACACCCGAAAACTCGTCCTGCATCCCACTAACAATGCCTAATGAAGAAACTCTGATGAAAAATAAATCCATACTTTTAACACTATCAGGTTTGATAAACGGTACCACCCATAAATATGGTGATGAATTAGTATTATTCGTGATTACGAACGAATAATCAAATTTTATTTTTGGTATTGAAATTAAGCCGACTTGTTTTGGGTTATTATATAATACAAGTGTAAAAGATTTAAACATAAAGTGCATTACTTCATCTTCATTAAATGTCTTATTCGTTAAAGTTGTTATTAAGGTTGGTGTAGAAGTTTCAAATTTATTACTTTGTTCATTGTTTATATTTTCTAATGATTCTTTGACCAATTCATAACATTCCTTTAACATCTTCCAAGTAATGTATACACGATCATTTGGATCTAATGCCGTATTTTGTCCTGGAGTTGTTATATTGAAACAATGTGTATCAGTTTTTGTCCATTTTGTGGTGGTGTCAAAAGTTTTTTCTGTGTCTTCCGTTGATGTTAAGAATATTAAAAAACCGTTAAAGAATAAGACAATCATGAAACATGTAAAAAAAGTGGACAGTTTTGAGTGCTTGTATAATAACATTTTTTTGGTTAATAGAATTAATGATTGAGATGAATGAGTATACGCGTGTAAAGAACGTGAATTTGAACATATCGTTGAGATATTGTGCGATATATTATATATATTATAAAGAATTGATGCCATTATAATTTTCTTAATTATATATATCACTTTTACGTTCAAAATAACAATGCCATATTTTTTAATGGTTTTAATGGTTTTTTAAATTGCTACTTTTAAAAATGATTTGAATCATTAGCGTTAGTGAGTTAGTGATTAAACAAAACACCACTTTTGTTTGTTAATTTTAGCTTCAGCCATGACATTCGTTTTATCACGAAAGCAAAAACAAAATAAAGTATCGCACTAAATACAGTGAGCCTTGAGAATTAGATAAATCGGTGACTCAATTACTATTATTACTATTATTACTACTGTATTTAATTGCTAATGCAATGCAATCATAAATTGCTATGCGTTTATACAAGATCCAGATAAATAGTGAGCTACAAAAAAACTATTTTCTTTTCTTTTCGTTTTTGTCGGATTTTTTGATTATCACTGATCGTGATCGTGACCATAATGAAAGGATCATAATAAAACTAGGTTAATGCGCGGCATTGTGTGCCCGGAGATCATGTTATACTTATTTTGTTTTTGATGAAAAACAAATCAAAATATAATGAATCAAAAATGTAACTACTACACACATTTTATTGATATTATTTATATTTTAATGCATCAAAAACGTAACTTTTGTATCGCCTTACCTAACCATATAACGTTCGTCAGACAATAAATGTAAATACGAAACATGATTACATGATTAAGCTTAATTATGTGATATGTACATTGGCGTTACCAATAAATGATAAATATTTTGTAAAAAAAGTGTTAAGTTAAATTGTTAATAACATTACGATACAAGAAAAAATAGTGCTGGGCTTGCTTGAAAAAGGATGAACAATACGAGGCTGAGAGATTAACGTTATGATGTAAAATGTAGTAGATTCGATTTGAAAGGGTCCGAAAGAAACGAGATCGAAGACATACTGCATAGAGTTTTTGAAAAAAAAAAATAAAACCGTAGTTGAAAAAAGACCGAGCGAAAATACGTCGAAAATTTAAAGAAATCTATCCATAACAGTTTCAGATTATTAGTTTAAATTGAGTGGCGAAGCGTACAATTTTTATCAACTGTATATATAACAATATTGACATAGCGATAATAATGGGTTAATGTAAATTTTGGCGTGTCAGATGGTTTATTAATTACATTAATTTGATTGTGTCTTGTGTTGACAATTCTTTGCGACGAGGCGTATGTTACTGTACTTTAGGAAATCATTTTTTAACAATAATTTTTACATTAAAGATGCTTGACGAAATATTTTTGAATTAACGAAAGATTTCATCAAATTACATGCCCGACGAAACCTTGACGATTGACGAAATCCCTGACATAGAGATTGTACCCGGGTAGATATTTTTATTATATGGCTATAATAAATTACCCGGATAACCGGGTAATTTAATAA